TTCGTTTTCAATAAAATACGAAATATAAATCTGAATCTAGGTTACTTTTCACTGACTAAATCACTTTATACAATATGTATAATTATAATATCGCCTTTCTAAGTATTTCATCTGTTTGTATACAGGTTCCTGCTATATTTACCCAGGCAAGTCATGAATACAAATTTCAGTTCATATTCTGGATCAAATTGCCAATGTTGTTTCCGTCGTTATTGACAAACCAGCTAGGTACTTGCCACAAATTAATCACTGCCTGCTTCATGTCTTTATCGTGTTCCTTCAAGAGCTGTAACTCCTTTTTCATTTTGGCCTCGCGATCTTTGAGCAAACTTAGCTGTTGATAAAGCGCTGTGTTCAAGGTATTTTTATCCTTAATCGCGCGTTGCAAGAGCTTGATATCGGTTTCCCTTTCTATAAAAATATAAATTAAGTAAAAGCATACATAAATCATGGAATACATACTGCTCACAGCCGCAATTAACAGATTCATGCATTCCGAAGCATCAGACGGGGGTTTCTTTTCAGTTTTACTGGCGGTCACACAATCCAGAGAAGATTCATCCAGAGATGTACTAAATGAGTCGCTATGAATTGCTCCAGCGAGCATCTGCATATGCTGTCGACCTTGCAGATGCTCTCGTTTATTATGGAGATTGTGGAAATACTGATCACATGTTCTGCAGTACAATTCTTCATTATCCTCCTCCTAGGCAACAAAAAAACATTTTAAACTTAAGCAATAATACATATAATAGTTTCTAAAAAACATACATCTAAATCATCAGTAGCATCCATATCACTTTCAGACAAAACATTATACTTGGCTCTGTTCCTTCTCTTATTAGCCAAGTATAGTTGATAAGCACTTGATTGCCTATATTCCCTTAATTCTTCCCTGTATCTCTTTTTTTCCTCTTCAGCTCTCTCTAAATAAGGTTTCTTTTCCTCTAGTCTTAAACTAGACCATTTGTTCCCTATCAACTTGGTAATTTCATGAAATGGTAAACTGCTCTTCTTGAACAGAAGCCTCTGTTCATTCAAATACAGGTTGTATCCAGTGGAGGGTGCCTTGGGAGGCAAATGCAATAGTTCTGGCTTCCTTTTCCTTCCCTTTGGCCAACCACCTCTTTTTTTCACTGGTATTTTTCCTGTTTCTAGCAAATTCAAATTCAGCTCTTTAGTATCTGATTTATCTTGTACCTCAGTTTTGGTAGCAAGCATGACACTACTTGCATCAGAGTCAGAAACATTTGAGCTCATAAAACTTTCCACATCTGTGGTCAACTCAATTAAATCATTGTC